GTTGGGGTCTTGGAGAATGCTTGCGACGATGGCCGATAGTGCGGCCGGGTTGATCTGGGGGACAGCGGGGTGAGAAGCCAGTTGGCCCGAAGCGCGATCAGCAGCGCGTTTGTCCTCTAGCCCGATGCGGGCATCTGGAGCAGTCTTGTTGAGCTGGACGCGAAGGTCGGCCGCTGCGTGCTCGACCTCCTGAGCGTTCTCATCCTGAGCGATGAGGTCATTAGGGACGTTGTCAGCAACGTTTCCCTGCCCTTCCTGGTTCAGGGGGCGTTCCTACCAGTGTTCTTTGACCTAGTTCTTGTCATAGCTAGCGGTAGTGTCTGGTAGCGACGAAGGGTACTCACTTGATCTGTTCTAGGCTCTCAATGAGAGCACCAAATGATAGCGTATTACTTCTAGAGAGAAGTGAGAGCTAGAGAGAGAAGTGAGTAATTATATTTCTCAACCCCCTATAATGAGCCCCTTGGGGTCTATTTATAGGTAAAAATGTGGGTTTGGGCTCCTAGCCATGGGCTTAGGAGGCCCATTACAATAATTATGCCTTCTTTGGGCAAAATAGGGCCACTAATGGGCTGGGTACAATACTTAGTAAATAAAGTAGAGAGATGCATCCTGCCAGGACGAAGACTGGCCGATGCGGACCTTTTGGCCGATGCGAACCCATGGCCGATACGGTCCATGGGCCGACGCGGCCCCCAGGAGTCCTGGCGTGCTTCCTGGGCCGGTTCGGTTTCTGGCCGACGCGGACCCACTGGCTGAAGGGGGCCACATGGGTGTTCTTCTGGTCATCGTTGACTTGAGTATGTGGGCCATGGGGTCCAGGCCCATATACTCTATCAGTAATCTTTTTACTTTGATTTTGTCATCAAAATTGAAGGTCTAAAATGTCAATGACCGTGTTTGATAATATTAGTTGTCTGCTAGCTCATAACCGGTTGAATTAACAGATTGATATTAGCAGATTTATTATCTTTTTTAGCTAATCGCTTTGATTATCGATTTGAAATAAAATGTTAGTAACTTAAAATTCGCACTTAGATTTTCAGACGTCGAATGACCATTAAAATTGAATTTAAAAGTTTATATATTTGAATTAACTTTATTTCTTTTTATTTTTAATAAGTTTTGAAAAAAGTTTTAAAAGTCATGTTTACGTTTATATTTTTGAGATATGTACATTTATGCTAGCATACACATATAAATTCATATACTTTTAGTAATAATTTTTTTAATATGACTATTTGTTAGTTTTTTAAGGTCTACTCCATTTAAAAATTCTACTCCATATGATTATTTATTAGTGTTTTTAAAACAATTAATCTATGGTAATTTATAATAAACGTAAATATAATTTTTAAAACCTTTTCAAAGACTTATTAAAAATAAAATAAATAATTTTAAGATAAAATATATACTTTTGAATTCATTTCTTAACATTTAATCGCAAACAATTAAGTTACAAACAATTTTTTCAAAAATTAATGATTCAACCGGCTATTAGCTAATAGAAGCTAATAGAATCATCGATATGCTGATTCAACCGACTATTAGCTAGCAGACAACTAATATTATCGAATACGGTCATTGACATTTTAGACCTTCACTTTTGATGACAAAATCAAAGTAAAAGGGGCGCAAATGTCAATTTCAGAATACTTAGAATATGAAATGTCGGAAATTCTAAAGTTGCGGATCAAAAGTTTATCACTCACAGAAATTTGACCAATTTGTCACCAGGCCTTCTTTTTTTACCAATTTGTCTCAATTGGTATTTTTTTACCAATATGTCCAAGAACCCTATTTTTTTACCAATTTGGTAATGTAGCCTTTTGAGCTGGGAAACATTAATCACGGGTTGTGAAACCGTCGGGTCGGAACCGTCAAGTAAAACCTATTTGTGCATTTGTTCATTGTTTTAAGGTTTAAATATGTTTTTAGTCCCTGCAAATATAGCATACTTTGTTTTAGGTCCCTGCAAAATATTTTCTTTGTTTTTCATCCCTGAAATTTATGTTGATTTTCCTTTTAGTTCATGACTACTGACAACAACCTCCGTTTGACAACGAAATAATCCCGACTAACAGGTATTCTTTAATTTTTTTGTCATGCCAATCAAAAAATATTTAATTTCATTTTTAAAAGGTTTTTAATACATATTTTAAAAATGCAAATAATTAGTTTTAATATTGTTTAACTCTCTTATTAGACTCAAAAACCTTATAAACTGATAAATTTAAATGTTTCTAATAGATTTATGTAACTGATAATAAAAAAGTTCTAAGTAGAGTTGTTTCGGAGTTAGAGATGGACTAAAACCAAAGTAGCACATATTATAGGGGTGAAAAACAAAGAAAATATTTTGCAGGGACCTAAAACAAAGTGTGTGATATTTGGAGGGACTAAAACCATATTTAAACCTTGTTTTAATCCTATATAGGGAATTACTCTATAAATTATGGGCACCTATCTTTAAATGGATAGGTAATGTCCTCCTTGTAGAACCGTAGTACCCCTTCATTCTTTATTAATAGTCCTCTTAGCCTTAAGTACGAGTTTTAATAACAAAGTAGTAGAGTAAGTATAAAGTGTGTAACGTAAATGATAGAGTAGGAAAAAAGGTACTCCCTCCGTCCCACTTTCCTTTTTGGGACGTCCCATTTATTCCTTTACCATAAGTTTCCTTTTTAGGCAATTTCTTTTACATTAAATGTCCTAACTACTCTTCATCACCCACCCACCTTTTATATTTGAGTGGATATCATTAATTCCTCTCAAAAGTCAAAGGATATGCAAGTCATTTCTTCTTCTATTAATTGAGCTCTTAAAACACCGTGCCAAAAACAAACGTCAAGATTCAACCAGGACGGAGGGAGTATATTAAAAAGAGTAAAGTGACAATGATAAAATAAAAAAGAAAGTGTATTAAGAAGTGTAAAATGATGGCAAAGTAGAAAAGAGAAAACAGTTTGTGAAAAGTAAGTGAGGTAAAAGTAATAAAAGTGATAGTATTTTCTCAAAAACTACAAATAAAAAACGTCCCAAAATGAAATGGAGTACTATTAATAAAGAAGGGAGGGAGTATGTACGTATATTATATGGAGTGTAATTTTATAACGCATTAATGCATATATTAAGCTGGTTAAATACGATAAAAAAAAGCTGGTTAAATTGTTACCTGTCCCTTGTATGTTGAGAATTCTTCATCAAAATCTACAGTAGCAACCACCGGATGGTGTGCTACTAACTCAAGAATTTCCGATTCCGTAAGCTCCCCTTCGAATTCTCTTCCCATTTGTGCCGCCTTGTGGAGCTATTATATGAACATAATAATAATCAGTATTACAAAAACACCTAATTATATAAAAATTAATTAGTTTATATGATTAGTAGCATGTCATCATGTGAGAACCAGGTACATTTGAGGGAATGAGGGATTGTTGACTAAGTCTAAGACATCATAAACAAACTAAAGTGCAAAATTAAAGAATATTTTTTCAAGATTTCTAATACAGCATACATACATGTATGCATGCATACATACATACATAGGGCCGGACGGCCGGTCCTTCCCTTAGGTCAGTGAGGCTTGGGTCTCAGGTCCCAAACAATTTAAAAATTAGGGGCTCAAAATTTAAATACATTTATAATGTATGTATATGCATTAAAAAAACAAAAGCTACACTGGTTGTGTAGTTTAAATTGTCCAATACAGAAGTAACAAAACGTGCGGGACAATAGAGTTATCAATCAAGTGGTGAAGTACAAACATCAAGTCCCAAATTTGTCCATATGTTATTATTTCCAAAATCTAGCTTTTAGTATGATCAGATTTGCTTATTTGATAAATTATTGATTTATAAATACACGAATGAATTTACTTATTAACTTCTATTTTCTATTTGCTATAACTATTGACTAAATCTTATATTATTGGTTGGGATTTGAAGTATCTGCATAAAGAAATGCTATTTAAAAATTAAAAGCAAGTTGATTCTAACTTCGTAGTATTTGTGATATTTTATATTTGAGAATTTAGATCTACTTTTTAATGTAAGATTATCATGATAAAAACCGTGCAATTTTCAATCCAAAATTAATCAAAATTGTGGTTTTTTTTTGTTAAAACGTAAGAATTTTATTTAAGTATTGAGTTTTTGGGATATTAATCCTCTATTTTTAAATATATATATTGTATTACAAAACAAATACTATGTATAGTGCCCTTTTAAGAAAGCTTGACTCAGGCCCGAGTTAATGTAGGATTGACACTCTACATACATACATGTGTGTGTGTTTGTGTGTGTTTATATATTATATATTATATATATATATATACAGGGGCGGAGCTAAGGGTGGTCAGCCGACCCCGCTGAAACTTCAAGAACTTAGAGCTCTGAAATACCTTCGATTTGACATATTATGGGTCCCGTAACTCATCACGGGTAAAAAGTTATGACTTTTGGAAAAATCAGCACCATCTTAACTTGAAATAAGCAAATTTAATGTGTGGCATTGATTATATTTCTTAAATTTTAAAATAAAACACCATATTCAGTCATTAGTTGTGTGAAGATTATGATACTTTACATATATATCAATACATTAACCGAAAAATGCTCATTAAACTATCATTTATCTCAATTACATATGAAACATTTAACTCAAACATTGTATAATAACTACCCAACATTTTGATACTATATACTACACATGAAGTATCATTAAAATCCGACCCCGCTCACATATTTTTCTGGCTCCGCCCCCGTATATATATATATATATATATATATATATATATATAGAGAGAGAGAGAGAGAGAGAGAGAGAGAGAGAGTGTCACGCCCCAGACCGCAATCCAAGCGCGTGTACAACCGCCGTATAATCAAGTGACGTCACCCGCGAGTCAACCTCACTTAATTACACAAGGCGTTCGAGAATATAAACCATCCATACTCAGTAGTAAACATACATAACAACATCACACTTAAACCAATGAATAGCGGAAATATTCAACGGTAAGTCATAAGCCACAACCGGCCAACAACATGAGCATGCAAGCCCCAAAAGTAGTTTATAGCAAATAAAAATATCCATGAGCAATGTTTAGTCATTTGAAAGGAAATGAGGAAGCACGAACCACGTCTTCCTTGACTTGATGTCACCCGTAGAAAGGTGCAGGTAGCAAGCCCTAGCTTCAACCTAAAAATGGTGGGGGCCCCCGAAGGGGTCAGTACAAGTACCGAGCGAGTAGCAGGCTAAATATAGAATAACTAGCGTTTCAAGTATAAGACCCAAACATAGGATGATACATATACGTATAGTCTTTCCCCCAAGTTTGAAATACATATTAGTATACATACACTTGGAAATACCCGACCCGTAGGTCATTGTTTATTTGGGAAAATAATAGTAATAGTCAGTATTCTTGACTAAAAACCCCAACCCCACCCATATGCCTATGAGTGTATAGAACTCCTCCTTGTTTAAGTAAATTATCATAAGGACACCGCCCGGTCCTAGATCATTAAATGTAATCTATGAGTTTTGAGGATACACGCCCGATCCTTGGGTACTCCACCCTATAACTGAGTTTTGAGGATACCGCCCGATCCTTGGGTACTCCACCCTATATAACCGAGTTTTGAGGATACCGCCCGATCCTTGGGTACTCCACCCTATATAACCGAGTTTTGAGGATACCGCCCGATCCTTGGGTACTCCACCCTATATAACCGAGTTTTGAGGATAACCGCCCGATCCTTGGGTACTCCACCCGACCTATGACTTACCACATATCACACTAGATAGGGTCTATATCATATTTAGTCATTCATAACTAATTCAATACATAAGGCTTATGTATCACAATCCATGCAAAGCCATGCAATTATATAAATGTATAATTAACTAATATCAACCGATATTAACTAATCCATTATCCATCGGTCAACGTTGTCGTTGACCGCCAATTCAAGCCTTGTACCTATCAACTTAATCATCATATAATTAAGTTAATAATACTCATTTGTGCTTCTTTTACACTTCAAGCTAATATGCATTTTATACAATTCCTCATATCATATTTCATGCATAAACAATTAATTCTTTTCATACAACTTAATAATGTTGGCTAATCACTTGTTTAAATATCTTTTAAACATCATTATGAACACATATAACATTTATTTAGGTAATCTCATAATTAACCCAAAAGTTATAAGATATTAAGCCGTCCACTCACCTTGAACTAGCGTTAAGAAGTTCTACCCTTCTTGGTTGAACTCCGGTGAAACTCCGGCGACTTTTGGTCAACTCCGGCGACAATTCCGGCGACTTTTCCAACTTTGTGAAATCACTCGAAATACCCTTTACAAGTGCCTAACAAGGTTTTATAATCATAAAACCCATGTTAATACAAATAACCTCAAAAAGGTTATTTTCCGGTGAACCGGTCGTTTTGACTTCTGAGTCCGTTCTTGGACATAGAATCACTTCCCAACCCATAAATCCATACTTATAACATGTAGAACCCTCTTAAGGATCCTTCACATGATATATATCTTATATGGTAGAAGAAAAATAAAGGAAAAGTTATAATAAGGTCATTACCTTAATTGTTCACACCTTTCCCAACCTTTTTCCTTCTCCAAACACTCCTCTTTGGACCTTCTTCCTTGAGCTCGAATTTGGGTGTGAAAATGGTGAATTGTAGAGCTCCCCCTTGCTATTCTTGGTTGCTTGGTCGAGCCAATGAGTGAGGGAGGGGAGGGGATGGCTCTCTTTGTCTCATTTGGCAAATGAGTGAGGAAAAGGGCCCCTTTGAGTGTACCTTTGATGCCCAAGCCTCCTCCTCCACACTTTCCTTAGTCAACTCCAGCCCATCCTTGCCTACTCTAGCACAAAAACGTGGGGTGGCCCCCACTCATGTGGGAGGTCATCCCTTTGTGTCCCGACGTGTACAATCGGTCCCGAAAGTTGTATTTTTCGGACTGTTTTAATCATATTTTATTTTATCGGGTCAAATAAAATATATTATGTGCTCTTACTCATTATGACATGTATAATGAATATACATTCCCCAAATTTAATTTATAAGCCTCCGAAATTCATTTCCGGGCTGTTACCGGTTAAATTGTCGGTACCGGTAATTGGGCCTCTTTTTCCCAATCGGTCAACTCTACGCCTTGCCACGACCCAAATGAAATACTCACCACTATATAAATATTATCTTGACCAAGATGAATAAAATATGTGGTCTCGGGAGTGTCGGGCGGCCCCGCTCCCGGTGTGGGTCCCACGTGCAATTTACTATTCACGCGAAAGAAATAATAAAAATTTACAACTTCGTAAATTCATTAATCCTTTAATAAGGTTCGATACATTATTTACATAAAAGTAAATATATTTGGGGACGGTGTTACAAGTTCACCCCCCCTTATTTGGGATTTCGTCCCCGAAATCCAAGTATCTAATCGAAAAGAAATGGGTATTGCTCCCTCATGGAGACCTCGGTCTCCCAAGTTTCTTCTTCGACTCGATCACTCCTCCAAAGGACCTTTACCATAGGAATCTCCTTATTCCTAAGCTTCTTCACCTGTTGACCAACAATCTTCACTGGTTCCACCGCATATTGCAAGTCCTCACGGATCTCTACCGGTGGTCTCTCAAGAATATGAGATGGGTCTCGTATGTACTTCTTGAGCATTGATACATGAAACACGTCATGTATCTTCTCAAGTTCAGGCGTCAACTTGAGTCGGTAAGCCGCGGCCCCGATCCTTTCAAGGATCTCAAACGGACCTATGTATCGGGGGTTAAGCTTCCCCCTCGATACGAATCGGATGATGCCCTTCCAAGGAGAAATCCTTAGGAAGACCTCATCACCGACTTCGAACTCCAACGGTCTCCGCCGTTTATCAGCATAACTCTTCTGTCGGTCCTGAGCAGTCTTCAGTCTATCCCGAATGATCCTCACCTTGGCCTTGGTGATCTCAACCAGCTCTATCCCTTCGAGTTTGGCCTCGCCAACCTCGTCCCAACACAATGGTGTTCTGCATTTCCTCCCATACAATGCCTCATATGGGGGCATGCCGATACTTGCCTGATAACTGTTGTTATAGGCAAACTCCACTAGGGCCAAATGCTTGTCCCAACTTCCTTGGAACTCCAAAGCACATGCCCTAAGCATGTCTTCCAAAATCTGTATCACCCGCTCGGACTGTCCATCGGTCTGTGGGTGAAAAGCTGTGCTAAACCTCAGTTTAGTCCCCAGAGATGCTTGAAACTTTGGCCAAAATCGGGATGTGAATCGTGGATCCCTATCCGAGACAATGGATATTGGGACTCCATGTAATCTCACAATCTCCTCCGTGTATAGCTTGGCCAATCTTTCAAGAGGATAAGTAATGTTGATAGGCAGAAAGTGTGCACTCTTGGTGAGCCTATCAACCACTACCCATACGGCATCGTAGTTGTTCACTGTTCGTGGCAGCCCCACCACGAAGTCCATGGTCACATGTTCCCACTTCCACTCTGGGATGGTGAGCGGTTGTAAGAGCCCTGCTGGGTGCTGATGCTCTGCCTTAACTTGCTGGCAAGTAAGGCATCGACTCACAAACTCTGCGATATCCTTCTTCATGCCTGACCACCAGTAACTTTCCTTCAGATCTCGGTACATCTTAGTACCCCCTGGATGCATGGCATATGCTGAAGAATGAGCCTCCTCAAGTATAGCCCTCTGGAGCTCCTCATTCTTTGGTATGCACACACGATCCTTAAATAATAAAAGACCGTCATCACGTACCCGAAAATTCTCGACGGGCCCCTCAAGGATCCGTTCGCGGATCTTCTGACATTCCTCATCAATGGCCTGACATCTACTGATCTCACTCAGCAATGTAGGCCTCACCTCGAATCTAGCAATGAGCGCCCCGCTCGTGGATACCTCCACGTGTGCCCTCAATGCCTGTAGACATGTGAGTAGCGTCCCTGACGTACTCTTTCTGCTCAGTGCGTCGGCCACTACATTGGCCTTTCCGGGATGATAGTCAATGATCAAGTCATAGTCCTTGATCAACTCCATCCATCTCCTCTGCCTCATATTCAACTCTTTCTGAGTGAATACATACTTCAAGCTCTTATGATCAGTATAAATGTGACACGTCTCCCCGTAGAGATAATGCCTCCAAATCTTCAATGCAAACACCACCGCCCCCAACTCTAGATCGTGAGTAGGGTAGTTCACCTCGTGTTTCCTCAATTGCCTAGAAGCATAGGCAATCACCTTACCGTTTTGCATTAGTACACATCCAAGCCCTTGGATGCTAGCATCGCTGTAAATGTCGTACCCTATACCCTGTATGGGTAGGGCCAGGACTGGTGCTTCGGTAAGTCGTTTCTTCAATTCAAGGAACCCCTTCTCGCACTTATCGTCCCATATGAACTTGGCCCCTTTCTTTGTGAGCTTCGTTAATGGAGACGCCAATACGGAGAATTTCTCAACAAATTTACGATAGTATCCCGCTAGGCCAAGGAAACTACGTATCTCCTTCGCATTCCTGGGTCTCTCCCAATCCATGATCGCTTTTATCTTGGCGTTATCCACAGCAACACCCGAACCGGATATGACATGACCGAGGAAACCAATCTCTTTGAGCCAAAATTCGCATTTGGAGAACTTGGCGAAGAGTTGCTTTTCCCTTAGCCGATCAAGTACAAGCCTCAAATGGTGTTCGTGCTCTTCCTCGCTCTTGGAGTATATCAAGATGTCATCAATGAATACTATCACAAATTGATCTAAGTATTCACTAAACACACGGTTCATCAAGTCCATGAATGCTGCCGGTGCATTGGTTAACCCAAATGACATCACAAGAAACTCGTAGTGACCATATCTAGTGCGAAATGCACTCTTAGGTATGTCACTTTCCTTGATCTTCAACTGATGATACCCCGATCTCAAGTCAATCTTTGAGAATACTATGGCCCCTCGAAGTTGATCAAACAAGTCATCAATCCTAGGTAAAGGATACCTGTTCTTGATGGTGACCTTGTTCAACTGTCGGTAGTCGATACACATTCTTAGTGTACCATCTTTCTTCTTTACGAAGAGTACGGGTGCTCCCCACGGTGAATGACTGGGTCTGATGAACCCGTTGTCCAGTAATTCTTGTAGTTGGACCTTCAATTCTTGGAGTTCGGCCGGCGCCATTCGATAAGGAGGAATCGAAATGGGTTTGGTTCCCGGCTCCACTTCAATTACAAACTCTATCTCTCTATCGGGTGGAAGCCCCGGTAGGTCTTTGGGAAAGACATCCGGGTATGTGCATACGACCCGTACATCTTTGATGTCGACTTCCTTCTTGGTATCGTCCACCACGTAGGCAAGGTATGCGTGGCATCCCTTCCTCATCATCTTCCTTGCCCTCATCACGGATATGATGCAAGCATTAGATTTCCCCCGATCTCCTTCGAAACACAGCGTGTTTCCAAGATCATCCTCGAGCTCCAACACCTTGGTGTAGCAATCTACTCGAGCATGGTGCTTCTCAAGCCAATCCATTCCTAGAATTGCATCGAACTCCAACATGCTCAGAGGTACGAAATCACAAGTCAAGGGTTGACCCGTCACTTCCACCTCACATGATGGATAGTAATGATTTCTCTCCACGTCGTCTCCTAACGGTGTGGAGACTAGCAATGTTTGTGTCATAGGCGTCAATGGCACGTCGAGCCCCTCAGCAAACGCCTCACTCACAAATGAGCGTTGTGCCCCGGTATCGATGAGGATCCTCGCACACCTACCATTGATCTTTAATGTTCCTACATTTATACACCATGTAAGATACATTTTCTAATGTTTTTACACACCTTTAGGAGGTTATTAGGTTCATACTAATGTTTGGAATCAAACGAGGGTCCAAACGTAGAAGAACGGGGCGAAAAAAAATCAAGTTTTGGGTGTTGGGGGTCCACGCACGGCGTGCGTAGGGGGTACGCATGGTCGTGCGTACCTTGCCTTACCAATGGAGGCTACTGCCCCCAACGCACGGAGGGACGCACGGGCAACGCACGGCCGGGCGTGCAGCGATTCTCTCCGGGGTGCTACTGCCACCAACGCACGGAGGTACGCACGGGCAACGCACGGCCGGGCGTGCAGCGATTTTCCTCCGAGGTGCTACTGCCACCAACGCACGGAGGTACGCACGGGCAACGCACGGCCGGGCGTGCATCGGTTTTCCTCCGGGGTGCTACTGCCACCAACGCACGGAGGTACGCACGGGCAACGCACGGCCGTGCGTGTAGCCCAGCCTATAGTGCGTTGGCAGAAATCAGCCCGATTTCGCCCGATTTCGCTCAATTTCGCTCCGTTTGATCCCGGGGTGGCCCGAATTCAACCCCCAACGGTGTATATGATCAAAATAAGTATAGAAATACATGGGAATACGTGTATTACCTGCAACGGAGTCCGGGTTTGCTCGCGCATCCGCCTCGGTCATCGCGTAGACTCGTGCTTGGGTCCCACCTTGGTTGACGGATGCGGCATGGCTTGTGGATGCACCGCCTCTTCCCGTACCGCCGTTTGACGGTCCCGCACGGTTTCTTCCCGTCATGGTCCCTCCCCCGGCTCCCGAGGCACTCTCTTGCATCAATTGAGGGCAATTGGCCTTCATATGGCCCGCATTCCCGCACTTAAAACACCTCGGTGGTTCATTGCACCTCCCAAAGTGTTGTTTTGAGCAATTGGGACATCTAGGTGGCCCCGAGTTCTGTGGCCTAGGTCCGTGCCACCTCGCATCCCTATTCTTCTTTGCCGGTGGAGCCGGCGCCTTGAATGAGCCACCGCCACCACCACCACCCCCGTGGTTGTTCCTTCGAGAATGATCGGGTGGCCCCGAATTATTCCACTTCCTTTTCTTCACCTCTTCGGCGTCCCTTGCTTTCCTCTCATTCCAATGGGCCTCTCCAAGCATGCCCTGCTCTACCACCTCACTAAAGGTCATGAGGCGGGAATACGTGGCACGATCTCGGATGTCCAAGAGTAAGGCATCCCAGAAGTGCTCAGTCATGCGGTCCTCATCGATCGCATACTCCGGCAAGAACCTAGCCAAGGTCCTAAACTCTTGCTCCAGTTGCTTAACCGTGCAACCCTCTTTCTGCTTGAGGTTGGTATACTCCCTCCTTTTCACATTAACCTCGAAATCGGAGTAGTATTGAGCATAAAATTCTTGCTCAAAATTTTCCCATGAGATGTCCCCACGGTATTTCCCTTCTACACCTTCCCACCATGTAGAAGCCATCCCCTCAAGTAGCCGTGAAGCGACAGTTAGCTTCACGTCCGGAGTAATCTGCATGTCTCTAGATGCATCCTTCACCTTCTTGATCCAATCGGCGGCAGCAGTAATGTCGCCGGTGCCGTCGAAGGACCTACACCCCAAGGCCCTAGCCTCCTTGAGGTATTTGGAGATTCTTACTACAAAACCTCCTTCATGCCCACCTTGTGGCGCCGCTGGGGTGGCCACGGAAGCTCCCCGACTCCCTTGACCCGAACCACCACGAGAGCCACGCCTTGCTTGGCGCCTAAGGTCTCTCCTCAGCTTTTCTTTTTGATACCACTCAAGCAATTCGCCCATTTGAGCGAACTTGGCATCACTCTCTTCGTCGTCATCATCGGTGTATGTGTCACCACCATCATACGGGGTCTCCTCATGCTCCGTTTCCGGAACGTAGGTTGAGTCATAGTCCTCGGTGTTGGTTTCATACACCGAGCTTACATGGCCATCACTCACAGTTTGAGCTTGATGACCTCCACGGCTTCCACGGCCTCCACGGCCTCCTCTTGAACCCCGAGATGCAGCCCGGCTTCCCCTTTGGGATGTTACCGGCGCCTGCCCCCTCGGATTGTTCCTGGTCCGCATTCGCCTGCCCTCCATTTCTGAAACAAATATGGATGAGTCATTAGACTCCTATAAATGTGAATGTCAATTGACGGAAGAACGCTACAGACACGTATTGGCCCAAGTCACCACCATACCAATTGTTAAGGGTACCGTCTTAACAATTAGAGGCCTTGCAACTTAAGCTCCAATAGTCCCATAAACGTCAAAATACAATGCCCATGGTTTTCGGTAAAAACTCTTTTGTAAAATCTCATGTGAGAGGTTGATTATATAGTTTAGAACTGAGATGGCTCTGATACCACTTAATTGTCACGCCCCAGACCGCAATCCAAGCGCGTGTACAACCGCCGTATAATCAAGTGACGTCACCCGCGAGTCAACCTCACTTAATTACACAAGGCGTTCGAGAATATAAACCATCCATACTCAGTAGTAAACATACATAACAACATCACACTTAAACCAATGAATAGCGGAAATATTCAACGGTAAGTCATAAGCCACAACCGGCCAACAACATGAGCATGCAAGCCCCAAAAGTAGTTTATAGCAAATAAAAATATCCATGAGCAATGTTTAGTCATTTGAAAGGAAATGAGGAAGCACGAACCACGTCTTCCTTGACTTGATGTCACCCGTAGAAAGGTGCAGGTAGCAAGCCCTAGCTTCAACCTAAAAATGGTGGGGGCCCCCGAAGGGGTCAGTACAAGTACCGAGCGAGTAGCAGGCTAAATATAGAATAACTAGCGTTTCAAGTATAAGACCCAAACATAGGATGATACATATACGTATAGTCTTTCCCCCAAGTTTGAAATACATATTAGTATACATACACTTGGAAATACCCGACCCGTAGGTCATTGTTTATTTGGGAAAATAATAGTAATAGTCAGTATTCTTGACTAAAAACCCCAACCCCACCCATATGCCTATGAGTGTATAGAACTCCTCCTTGTTTAAGTAAATTATCATAAGGACACCGCCCGGTCCTAGATCATTAAATGTAATCTATGAGTTTTGAGGATACACGCCCGATCCTTGGGTACTCCACCCTATAACTGAGTTTTGAGGATACCGCCCGATCCTTGGGTACTCCACCCTATATAACCGAGTTTTGAGGATACCGCCCGATCCTTGGGTACTCCACCCTATATAACCGAGTTTTGAGGATACCGCCCGATCCTTGGGTACTCCACCCTATATAACCGAGTTTTGAGGATAACCGCCCGATCCTTGGGTACTCCACCCGACCTATGACTTACCACATATCACACTAGATAGGGTCTATATCATATTTAGTCATTCATAACTAATTCAATACATAAGGCTTATGTATCACAATCCATGCAAAGCCATGCAATTATATAAATGTATAATTAACTAATATCAACCGATATTAACTAATCCATTATCCATCGGTCAACGTTGTCGTTGACCGCCAATTCAAGCCTTGTACCTATCAACTTAATCATCATATAATTAAGTTAATAATACTCATTTGTGCTTCTTTTACACTTCAAGCTAATATGCATTTTATACAATTCCTCATATCATATTTCATGCATAAACAATTAATTCTTTTCATACAACTTAATAATGTTGGCTAATCACTTGTTTAAATATCTTTTAAACATCATTATGAACACATATAACATTTATTTAGGTAATCTCATAATTAACCCAAAAGTTATAAGATATTAAGCCGTCCACTCACCTTGAACTAGCGTTAAGAAGTTCTACCCTTCTTGGTTGAACTCCGGTGAAACTCCGGCGACTTTTGGTCAACTCCGGCGACAATTCCGGCGACTTTTCCAACTTTGTGAAATCACTCGAAATACCCTTTACAAGTGCCTAACAAGGTTTTATAATCATAAAACCCATGTTAATACAAATAACCTCAAAAAGGTTATTTTCCGGTGAACCGGTCGTTTTGACTTCTGAGTCCGTTCTTGGACATAGAATCACTTCCCAACCCATAAATCCATACTTATAACATGTAGAACCCTCTTAAGGATCCTTCACATGATATATATCTTATATGGTAGAAGAAAAATAAAGGAAAAGTTATAATAAGGTCATTACCTTAATTGTTCACACCTTTCCCAACCTTTTTCCTTCTCCAAACACTCCTCTTTGGACCTTCTTCCTTGAGCTCGAATTTGGGTGTGAAAATGGTGAATTGTAGAGCTCCCCCTTGCTATTCTTGGTTGCTTGGTCGAGCCAATGAGTGAGGGAGGGGAGGGGATGGCTCTCTTTGTCTCATTTGGCAAATGAGTGAGGAAAAGGGCCCCTTTGAGTGTACCTTTGATGCCCAAGCCTCCTCCTCCACACTTTCCTTAGTCAACTCCAGCCCATCCTTGCCTACTCTAGCACAAAAACGTGGGGTGGCCCCCACTCATGTGGGAGGTCATCCCTTTGTGTCCCGACGTGTACAATCGGTCCCGAAAGTTGTATTTTTCGGACTGTTTTAATCATATTTTATTTTATCGGGTCAAATAAAATATATTATGTGCTCTTACTCATTATGACATGTATAATGAATATACATTCCCCAAATTTAATTTATAAGCCTCCGAAATTCATTTCCGGGCTGTTACCGGTTAAATTGTCGGTACCGGTAATTGGGCCTCTTTTTCCCAATCGGTCAACTCTACGCCTTGCCACGACCCAAATGAAATACTCACCACTATATAAATATTATCTTGACCAAGATGAATAAAATATGTGGTCTCGGGAGTGTCGGGCGGCCCCGCTCCCGGTGTGGGTCCCACGTGCAATTTACTATTCACGCGAAAGAAATAATAAAAATTTACAACTTCGTAAATTCATTAATCCTTTAATAAGGTTCGATACATTATTTACATAAAAGTAAATATATTTGGGGACGGTGTTACAGAGAGAGAGAGAGAGAGAGAGAACTTCATGTCAGGCCGGCCTGACGGGCTGCCCCGTCAGGCCGAGCCCGTTTGGGCACCTTCCCGGTGGAATTTTTTGTTGAAATTTTTTGAGCATGTTCCTCATCAAATCTAGTTTGTCCCTACCAAATTTCATCTCAAAATTCGATCGGGAAGGTCGTCAAATGATTTTTGCAAGTTAACTGGTCCGGAATATGTATTTTTCGGACCAGTTAACTTGCAAAAATCATTTGACGACCTTCCCGGTCGAAATTTGAGCTGAAATTTGGTATGGACAAACTAGACTTGATGAGGAACATGCTCAAAAAATTTCATCAAAAATTCCACCGGGAAGGTGCCCAAACAGGCTCGGCCGGACGGGGCAGCCCGTCAGGCTGGCCTGATGAGAAGAGCCCTCTCTCTCTCTCTCTCTCTATATATATATATATATATATATATATATATATATATATATATTCTTTTTTTGTGGACACATACACTTACATTTTTTCTCGGCCAATCCGATTGCCTGCTCAATCCTTCAGCTTGCACATATTTGAGAAGTTTCGTCATGGTTTTTATTGGTTTGATTTCGTCTTGTGTTGATTTATTATAGGCCTTATTAATCAACTCTTCTACGGAAAATCTTTCTTCAAACCCTTTTCTGACTTGAAGGTTGTGAGCAGCTTCAATAAAACCCACTAGAGCATGCGCACCACAAGTATCTACCAAAGCCAACAATTCACATTAGAAATAAAAACAGTGAACCAAAAACTAACAAATCTATTACTACTCTAGCTAGGGCAAGAGGGTATATTTATATATAGGGCTGTACAGGAATCGAAAAATGTTGATTTGATTCGATTAAAATTCGAAAATGTGGATTTGATTTTGAATAGGTAGAATACAAATACTGTTAATATTATTGGACGTCCGCATGCATATTAATTTGGTTAAATAATTGTTTTGTTGTATTCTTGTTAATCTTATCTATTGTAACCAGCTGTATAAGCTTACGTATAGGCTTAGAATTCTTTATTTTGTAAACTCCTTTAGCGTAGAGAGGATCCGAGAATTGTATATAAACCTGTACATCATTCGAGCTGATCGACAATACAATTTTACGATCTACGTACTCTTGACTTTAATTTGGTATCAGAGACTTTTTTTTCGTTCCTTGGCCGTTTCTTTTTCCTTTACCGATCTTATAGTTGGATTGTGGAATTTTCCCGTGCTCTGTATTCCAAAGTGAACACCTATAAATAGGTGATGTACAACAGTATGATAGAATTCTATCTCTATACAATTACGTAAGCTATGTACGTAGTTCGGTGCACACAAATAGCTAACCGACTAACAGCTAGGGAATAGATAATATTTACAATAAACAGCACGTGAGGAAGTCTGCATGCGTAGTTATCTGCTAACACGCCCCCGCAGTTTGACCGGGAGGTGACCGGACGGTAAGACTGGTTCTGAATTCCTCAAACAAAATGCATGGTAAACCTTTTGTAAATATGTCAGCATATTGTTGACGTGAAGGAACATGAAAAATCCGGACAGTTCCACGAGCAACATGCTCACGAACAAAATGGATGTCCATTTCAATATGTTTCGTCCTTTGATGATGAACAGGATTTTGAGACATATATATAGCACTGACATTATCACAATACACTATGGATGCTTTGCGATGAGGGCAATGTAATTCGAGAAGTAGATTACGAAGCCAACAAATTTCAGCCACCACATTAGCCACACCACGATACTCAGCTTCGGCACTAGACCGAGAAAGTGTCGGCTGGCGTTTGGAGGACCAAGATAAGAGATTATTACCAAGAAACACACAGTAGCCAGAGGTGGAGCGGCGAGTATCCGGGCAACCAACCCAATCGGCATCCGTATATGCAATAAGATCATCCGTTGGCAAAGATGGAGTGATGTGTAGACCAAGGTGTGACGTGCCCTTGATGTAGCGAATAATACGTTTCATAGCATGCATGTGAGGGACCCGTGGATCATGCATGAAGAGACAAACCTGTTGGACGGCATAAGAGATATCAGGCCGGGTAAAAGTAAGGTATTGCAAAGCGCCGGCAAGACTACGGTAAAGTGATGGATCGTCAATAGGAGGACCGTCGGTGGAGCTAAGTTTGGATTGGGAGTCTACTGGAGTGTTGACGGGGTTGCAAGCAGCCATGCCAGCACGTTTAATAATGTCCTGAGCATACCGTGACTGGGAGAGAAATAGGCCAGTCCCATGAGTGGTAACCGAGATACCCAAAAAATAGGAAAGGGGTCCCAAATCTGTCATAGCGAACTCATCACCAAGTTTGCGAATAATATCTGTACGAAGAAGATCCGAGGAAGCCGTGAGGACAATGTCATCAACGTAGAGGAGGAGATATTCAATATCATGGCCATGTCGGTATACAAATAGGGAATGATCGGAAACACTATGCTTGAATCCGATTGTTGCAAGGTAGGAGGCAAATCTGTGGTACCACGCCCGAGGGGCTTGTTTAAGGCCGTATAAGGATTTGAGAAGACGGCACACATGTTGAGGTTTGGAGGGATCATGAAAACCCGGGGGTTGGTACATGAATACTGTTTCATCAAGGTAACCATGCAAAAACGCATTTTTGACGTCAAGTTGATGTAAAGGCCATGAGTGAGATAGGGCGAGGCTCAAAACGGTGCGGATGGTGGCTGGTTTAACCACCGGGCTAAAAGTCTCATCACAATCAACCCCAATTTGTTGTGAATTGCCATTCACAATAAGCCGTGCTTTATGGCGTTCAAGAGAACCGTCGGACCTGAATTTATGTTTAAACAACCACATGCAACAAATAATATTGGCGTTAGGAGGACGGGGAACCAACTCCCACGTCTTATTTTGAATTAAAGCACGAAACTCATCCGTCATGGCGGATTTCCAGGTAGGGTCATGTAAGGCAGCGATGGGGGATTTAGGGAGGGGAGAGAGTTTCGGTGTAACACTAACCGAGAGATTAAGAGGAATTTTGGGTTTGAATATCCCTGCTTGGCTACGAGTTTGCATGGGATGCCAAGGAGGGTGTATAGGCTGCATGGAGTGTATAGGTTGTATGGGTGATGGGGAGGAAGTAGGTGTGGAAGGGGGGTTGACCGAAGGTATAGGGGAAGGAGGTGGGGTAATATTTGCTGGGAGAGAGTGGGGAGGGTGAGATAGTGATTGGGCAGGGGGGATATTAGTGGGGGATGGGAGGAGATTAGGAAAACGAAAAATAGGATGTGGGTCATCTAAAAATGTATAAGAGGAGGAAGGTGTTTGGTGGGTTTTGAATGGAAAATCAGTTTCGACAAAGCTAACGTGTCGAGATATGATAATTTTATGAGTAGAGAGATCTAAACATTTGTAACCCTTATGAGAGGAGGGAAACCCAAGAAATACACATGGGGTTGTACGAGAGTGAAGTTTATGTAGGGTCGGAGATGAGTTGTGAGGAAAACATAGGCAGTCAAATACACGTAAGTGGTCGTATGTGGGTTGCCGGAAATAGAGATATGCGGTAGGGAAGTGATAAGATAATAACTTAGAAGGTAAAATATTATGAAGATATGTAGCCATTTGGACGGCGTGAGGCCAGAGAGTAGGTGGGACAGAAGCATGAAGTAGTAGGGTACGAGCAATATTATTAATTGATCGTATAGTTCTTTCGGCTTTACCATTTTGAGGGGAAGTGTAGGGACAAGAGAAACGAAATTGTAAACCATTAGCACTCCCAAAATTACGAAACGCAGTATTGTCAAATTCTTTGCCATTATCACACTGAAAAACTTTAATGGTCCACTCAAATTGGGTGTGGATATAAGTGTGAAAACTGACAAAAATGGATAGCGCTTGGGATTTATTGTGCAATGGATATATCCAAAGAAATTTGGTAAAGTCATCCAAAAATAATATATAATAGCAACAACCATCAGAACTAAGAATTGGTGAAGTCCATAAATCACTATGAATTAAATCAAATGCTTGTAAAGTAACAGATGAGGAATGACTAAAAGGTAATTTGGTAAGTTTGCCCATGTGACACGAGGTACAAAACGAGCCAAACTTTTTATTACATGAAAGAACATTATTTGTGCGAAACTGACTAAAAACATGATCTCCGGGGTGACCAAGGCGATTATGCCACACCTCAGCCGTGGGGAGAATAAGGGCAGTAGCTGGCGAAAGCGAAGTAGGAGAAGCAAGGACCGGATATAAGTCACCCGAGCTGTTACATCTCATGACCGGAACCCCCGTTCGAAGATCCTTCACAGAAAAACCAAACGGGTAAAACTCAATAGAAACAATATTATCTTTTGTGAATTGACGAACTGACACTAAATTTTTGATAATATTGGGGGTATGAAGGACA